AATACATTCTCAAAAAATAAAAAAGCAGTATGTGTGAAAGGTTGAAATATCCAATGAGAACAAAACCTAACCTTGGAAAGCTTACTCTAAGCAAACCATTTTGCCTGTCTCATCCTACTTAACCCTTACGAAAGCCTAGGTGAGACTGCCATCACCTCCAGCTCACTGATGTGGAAATTCAGCCAGTGAGCCTTGGAGGAAGGCTTTGACACACATCTGATCAATTCCCAACCTCAGGCTTTTACCCAGGACAGTCCACAGCATCTCAGGCTCAGCTGCACTTCTTGGAGCAGCAGTTAGTGCGAGAGAACAGGCTCTCTGGAAGGGAGAAAAGCCTGCATGAAGGAGGGGTTGGGAGCCCAGAAAATTGTGTAGCACAGCCTCAGTAAAGAACATAAGGAGGCTGGGCACAGTGGCTCATGTCCATAATCCCAGCACTTTGGGAGGCCAAGGCAAGAGGATTGCTTAAGCTTAGGAATTTGAGAACAGCCTAGCAACAAAGTAAGACCTCATCTCTACTAAAAAATAAAATAAAAAGGCAAAGAGGAAAAAAAGTCCACAAGGAGAAGTGCAAAGCAAGAATTCGTCAAGGACAGAACACAAAGTTGGCAAAGACCCAGACGTGCAGAAAGGATGTGAAACTTGTCCGAAATCTCCAGACAGCATCACAGTGAAGGCTGCAACCCACAGCTCCTGACCCCCAGGGCCACTGCTTTGTGAAACAATAAAGAAATGAATGGCTAAGGACAGCTTCTACACGGGGTCTCCCCTAAGCAGAAAGAAGAGTGGCTGAGTCTTTCGATAGCAAGGGACCACAGAGAGGTCAGGTCAGCACGAACTTGAGAAAAGATTCTGAAGAATCGGGAAGACTTGCTTGGCAATCCAGGGAATTAGAGGTAAGGGGAAGAACCTTTTGGTTGACGTTTTAGGTCTTTCCAAACCCTGGACCGGGGTGAGAAATTGTTATATAAAAGGTTCTATAGTTTTAATATGGTTAGAAACGCTTTCCTTCTGATTTGGGGGAATGGAAGACACATTGTTTTGAAAAGGGGCTGCTGGGTGGTCTCTCCAACATCAACACTTAAATATGACCACTCACCTCCCGAGTGTCAGCCACTCCTGATCACCAGTAAGTTGCTATACATGAATTAGGATAAGAGCAAAGAACTCCTTGTCTTATCTTAAAAATAAACAGAGTTGAGATAGAAGGGTCAGTGTCAAAAAATCAGCAGCAGCCGATGAAGGATGGGGTCAGACATGAGGAGCTTTTTTTTTTTTGAGACAGAGTCTCGTTCTGTCTCCAGGCTGGAGTGCAGTGGCGCGATCTCGGCTCACTGAAGCCTTCGCCTCCCGAGTTCAAGCGATTCTCCTGCCTCAGCCTCCTGAGTAGCTGGGATTACAGGTGAGAGCCACCACTCCTGACTAATTTTTGTATTTTTAGTGGAGACGGGGTTTCACTATGTTGGTCAGGCTGGTCTGGAACTCCTGACCTCATGATCCACCCACCTCAGCCTCCCAAAGTGTTGGGATTACAGGCATGAGCCACCGCACGGGGCCACAAGGAGTTTTTTTGTTTGTTTGGTTTGGGTTTTTTTTTTTTCCCAGACGAAGTATCACTCTTGTACCCCAGGCTGGAGTGCAATGGCACAATCTCAGCCCACTGCAACCTCCACCTCCCGGGTTCAAGCAATTCTCCTGCCTCAGCCTCCCAAGTAGCCGGGATTACAGGTGTGCGCCACCACACCCAGCTAATTTTTGTATTTTAAGTAGAGACGGGGTTTCACCATGTTGGCCAGGCTGGTCTTGAACTCCTGACCTCAGGTGATCTGCCTGCCTCGGCCTCCCAAATTGCTGGGATTACAGGCGTGAGCCACCGTTCCCGGCCCACGAGGAGCTTTTTTAACTGGCATGCTTGAGGTTTGTTAACTCCCCAAAGTTTCTAGCAAGTTCGTCCCAGATGCCTTGCACTGCTGTTTCACATAAGATGGCTTTATTATGATGCAAGCCTTCTGGGACAAGAAAAGGCACGGGGACTGTGCTGCAGTTGAATGCATTTTTCATATGAACCAAATGGTTTTTTTGGCCCCCCAAAATTCATATTTTGAAATCCTAACCCCCAATGAGATGACACTTGGAGATAGGGCTTTCAGGAGGTAATCAGGTCATGAGAGTGGGGCCTTCATGATGAGATTAATGTCCTTATGACAAGAAACACCAGGCCAGGCATGGTGGCTCATGTCTGTAATCCCAGTACTTTGCAAGGCCAAGGCAGGCAGATCACTTGAGCCCAGAAGTTCAAGACCAGCCTGGGCAACATGGTGAAATCCCATCAGTACAAAATATTTTTAAATTAGCCAGGCTTGATGGCACACACCCATAGTCCCTGATACTCAGGAGACTGAATGGGAGGATCACTTGAGCCCGGGAGGTTGAGGCTGCAGTGAGCTGTGTTTGCACCACTGCACTCCAGCCTGAGCAACAGAGCAAGATCCTGTCTCCAAAAAGTAAAAGAGAAGAAACACCAGAGAGCTTGCTTCCCCTCTCTCTGCTTTCTGCCATGTGAAGCTACATCAAGAAGACAGTTGTCTGCAAACCAAGAAGAGAGCCCTCACCAGACACCAGATCTGCTGGCACCTCGTTCTTGGACTTCCCAGCCTCCAGAACTGTAAGAAATACATGCTTAGGCCACTCAGCTTGTGGAATTCATTCTGCAGCTCAAGCTGATGAAGACAAGGTCTCTCTCAGAAATGGGTGTAAATTACTATCACATAAACGGAAGCACGAGAACCTTATGTATATTCACAACCTCTGACCCAGCCAGGCCACCTCAAGGAAAATAGCTCCTAAAATAATTGGAGAGAAGCAGAAAAGTTTCTGTATTTACTTTCAATTTTATATAAAATGAAGAAAAATTTGGGAAAAAAACTAAATTTTTATTTTATTTTATTTTATTTATTTATTTTTTTTTTTTGAGACGGAGTCTCGCTCTGTCGCCCAGGCTGGAGTGAGTGGCCGGATCTCGGCTCACTGCAAGCTCCGCCTCCCGGGTTTACGCCATTCTCCTGCCTCAGCCTCCCGAGTAGCTGGGACTACAGGCACCCGTCACCTCGCCCGGCTAGTTTTTTGTATTTTTTAGTAGAGATGGGGTTTCACCGTGTTAGCCAGGATGGTCTCGATCTCCTGACTTCGTGATCCGCCCGTCTCGGCCTCCCAAAGTGCTGGGATTACAGGCTTGAGCCACCGCGCCCGGCAAAAACTAAAATTTTTACCAAGAAAATGGTTAAATTGTGGACCATCCATTTGATGGAATATTAGGTTGCCATTTAAAAATCATGGCTTTGGGCAGGCTGTGGGGGCTCATACCTGTAATCCCAGCACTATGGGAGGCCAAAGCAGGCAGATTGCTTGAGCTCAGGAGTTCAAGACCAGCCTGTACAATAGAGTAATAGTGAAACCCTGTCTACAAAAAAATACATGAGCCTGTAATTCCAGGAGGACAGATTGCTTCGGGAGGCTGAGGTGGGAGGACTGCTTGAGCCCAGGAGGTCAAGGCTGCAGCAAGCAGTGTTTGTACCACTGCGTTCCAGCCTGGGCAACAGAGCAAGACACTGTCTCAAAAAAAATAAAAAATAAAAACCCACAGTTTTGACATAAGAAAATGCTCACAACTAATGTAAAATTTAAAAAATAATGGTATGTATAATATGGGATTTGAGATAAATTTAGGAGAAACTGTTAGATTTCAAATATCTTTCTCTTCAAGAATGTGGTACTTTTTTCTCTTATTTGGAATATCTCTTATATTTCTCAATGGAATTTTATAGTTTTCTTGAAAAAGACCTAAAAATTTTATATTAACTGTGTTTCTAGGATTATTTTTCTATTGCAAATGGAAATGCTTTTCATTATATTTTTAAGATGTTATTGACTTTTTTGTGGCGGGGGGGGGGGAGAAGAAGTCTCGCTCTGTTGCCCAGGTTGGTGTGCAATGGCACAATCTCGGCTCACTGCAACCTCTGCCTCCCAGGTTCAAGAGATTCTCCTGCCTCCCAAGTAGCTGGGATTACAGGTGCCCACCATCATGCCCAGCTGATTTTTGTATTTTTAGTAGAGACGGGGTTTCACCGTGTTGGCCAAGGTGGTCTCGAACTCCTGACCTCAGGTGATCCGCCTGCCTCGGCCTCCCAAAATGCTGGGATTACAGGAGTGAGTCACCATGCCCAGCTGGTGTTACTGATTTTTAAACAGCCTTCCTCTTACAGTTTCTAGAATTCTTTCTATTCTTCTACTGTATTTGATGTGGTTCTAGACATCAGTTTAACAGGCATGAGGAAGAAATAAAAGACGTAGGAATTCCAGGAAATCGTGTTTCATTAATAAAAATGTGAAATTTGTAATAATAATAGCACATAAAGCCACATATGTTATAAATGCATTTTTTAAAGTATAATTATCAATCTATCTATCTACAGAGAAACAAGCCTGGAAGGAAATGCCCAAAAATACTAATTGTATTCTAGTGACTCTCAGTTCTATCAGACCTTCTTTTTACAGAATATTTTATAATGCCATTAATCTCCTTGAAATGAAAGTCACTGATGTTTTGCCTAAACAAGTGACTTTTAAAAAATCAATATATGCCCTAGCTTAATGTAAATAATAAATAAAAGGAAAGCAGTTTATAATGTTTTGAAAAAATTATATTTAAGAATATAAGCTCATACGGCACAATTACACTAGAAAATCCCAATGCCCCACAAATTCCCAAAACAATCCCAAGGCAAGGTACTGTCACCTTTGAGTATCACTGCATTTAAAAAAAGAGGCCCAGGGAGTGAGATTCTTTTTGTTTGTTTGTTTGCTTTTCTATAGAGTATTTTTTCTCCTTTAAATGAATGCATACTGCTTTTATATTCAAAAATCTAGTGTTGGGGTAGATGTCTCAGGACTGTGATGTGTTCAATACAAGGGAGGAGAAAGTCCCCAGGAAGACAGCTTACCTCGAATGAGTACGCCTTCCCAATTCCATCGCCTGCTCCAGTGATCACTGCGAAAAGCAGGAATGTTTTTAAATGACAGAATTCATCTTTAAACTTCTCTTTCTCACTGGCTACGTTTTCTCGCAAGCCTAGTCTCCAGGACAGTCAGTGTTCCAAAGGCGCATCCCTTTGCTCTCCAGCCCACGCCCTTGAAGCCCCTCGCTAAACATTCAGGTGAAAGGGTGGGTTGGTTGGTTGGTTGGTTGGTTGGTTGGTTGGTTGGTTGGTTTTTTGGAGGGATTGGCGAGACTCTGGAAAACATCTTCCAAAATGAAACAGACAGCCGCAGCCAGGGAACATTTCCTGCAGGCCCCATGAGGGTGCAGACACTGTGAGCCTTCACCCTGCAAGGGCAGGCGGTGTTCCCCATTATCTCTCTGCCCAGGCACTCGTCTGTCATTGTAAGGACATTTCAAGGTTCCTTCTAAAAGCAGAGCTGTGCCCCCTTCTCATCCCCACCCCACAGCAGCAATTAAAGGCCTGTGGAAGGTAGGGAATTTAGCAAAGAGGAAAATACAAAAAAGCAAAAAGAAAATGCAGTGAAATGAAGAAACCTGAAGAATTTATACTCAACAGAACTTATCTGTTAATATACAACAATCAAATGGGTCTTCTAGTCCTTTTATATCAACATTACAGACATATTTAATGATTGAGTTCTAGGATACGCCTCATTCGTGAGAACATCACAATTTCAAAATTCACTACAATTCGGCATATCGTAAAACTTACAATGTATCCTTGCAACAACAATTAAAGGGCTTGCTTTCAAAAAGTGTGAACAAAAGATACATTCAGCTCACTTGAGAGTGAGTGCAGGCCAAGCTCTACAAGTTTCACGGACCACACTGACAGAAGCACTCTGGCTTTAATAATTACTAATGATGTGTCTGTTCATTTTGGAACTTCTAGGAGGCTCCATGCACACCGTCTGCAGCTCCGGGTGCAGGAACTATGCTCAGGGCCATCTTGGGCCTCACCTTCCCCTCCCTGTGGGAAATCTTCAGTTCACCCAATACAGGGCCTGCACTACAGGCAAGATGATACCATCAATGATAACAACGGATAACGGTCACACACTTACTTCTTGCCATGTACTGCTTCTAGTGTTTTAGATGCATCATCCCATTTAATGTTCAAAACAAACCTAAAATGCAGGGACCATCATTATCCTTAGTTTGTAAATGAGGAAGCCAAGGGGAAAAAGTTCGTAAATGATGACACGAGGATTTGAACCCAGGCTGTCTGACTTTGGGGCCCCAGGTCTATGAATATACACCAAGAAAAGAATTAGGAAATCCAGCACAGAGTTCAGGGTACTCCATCTGAGGAATTAAAATTTTAGCCTCTAGTACTTGGGTTTCTTTTTTGTCCCCTACTTGAAATATATTATCTCCTTGATATCTGCCTCTGCCCAAACATATTTTACTCCTGCTAGAGGTAACTCACTCCATCTTGACTCATAAAAACAGGTTAAGATCATGTTTTTACTTTGAGTCACCAAATGCTCTAAGTCTCTGGACCCATTTGAACTTCTTTTAGAATGTGGGTTCTTAGAAGGGCTTTCCCTACACCAACGACAGCAGCGATGCAGAGTGCTACGTCCACCCACCCATGGGCATCTGATTCTGTGTGGAGTCGGGTATTTAAGTCCAGAACACACAGGTCAGGCTGCTGTGCAAGTTCACTGCAGACAGCATAATGCCCCGAGAGGACACACGCGCGCACACACACACACACACACACACACACACACACACACCCCAAATGTAAGAAGCAGCAGTCAAAAATCCATTCGTCATCCCAAACAATTTCTCACATGGTAATTTTTTAAATTTCCATTGCTAAGTTTTTAAGGTTGCCAGGTTTAGCAAATAAGGATACAGAATGCCTACTTAAATTTGAAATTCAGGTAAATTATGAATGATTTAATATGTGTCCTATGCAATATGTGAGTTACAAAATACTAAAAAAGTGTTCCTTTCTTCTGAAATTTAAATTTAACTGGATGTCCTGTATTTTATCTGGCAGCCCTATAAGGATATCAGAATCTTTCCTATTTCACCTGGATAATATCTCTAACGTCACTTAATCATTTTTGTCATTGGATGCTTTTTTTATGTTTATTTTTTGGTGTCCAAATTTGAAATATAAGCCCCTGCAAAGACCTTAGCATTTCACTCAAGGAGATGCTGAAGCCATGGCCTCATGCTCTTCACCTTAACCTCAGTCATAGGGCTGAAGCTCTGCACGGGCGTTCCAGTAGATAAATCCCATGGGGAGCAGCATTTGATTGACACCAGCCAGATTCCCTTCCATACCATCCTGAAAACATGGCTCCACAGAGATACGTGTTGCCTTGATTTTGTAATACCTTCATTGCTTAAAAACACTTGGATCCTTTTTTTAATATAGTGAATTAAAATTATTTAGATTTCAAAATTTGGAAACACCTTCTAGTAAAATGAAAACACCCGAGCTTTTTGTAAATCTGGAGATGAGGATGTGGAAATTTCTGCATTATTTATTATTTGTATCAGCAGGAAACTCCCAAAAGAAGAAAACTCATCTAATGGGGTCGGGAGGACAAGTGCTTAGCAAGGGCTGGATAGCCTTCTTCCCTAGCGTTCACTTAATGCCCTACGGCTTGTGTTGCAGACCATTCTAATTTCACTCACACTTTCTAATCCCTCCAATTAAAATTACCCAAAGGAATTACTTCTTTGCTCTCAAGAGAAAAGATGCAATATCCCTTTTGAGACATAAATAATAAGGCTGGGCGTAGTGGCTCATGCCTGTCATCCCAGCAGTTTGGGAGTCCAAGGCGAGTGAATCACAAGGTCAAGAGTTCAAGACCAGCCTGGTCAATGCGGTGAAACCCTATCTCTACTAAAAATACAAAATGTTGGCCGGGTGCAGTGGCTCACACCTGTAACCTCAGCACTTTGAAAGGCCAAAGTGAGCGAATCGTGAGGTCAGGAGTTCGAGATCAGCCTGGCCAACATGGCAGAACCCTGTCTCTACTAAAAATACAAAAATTAGCCGGCTGTGGTAGTGTGCGCCTGTAATCCCAGCTACGCGGGAGGCTGAGGCAGGAGAATTGCTTGAACCCAGGAGGCAGAGGTTGCAGTGAGCAGAGATTGTGCCACTGCACTCCAGCCCGGGCAACAGAGTGAGCCTCCGTCTCAAAAAAAAAAAAAAAAAAAAAAAAAAATTAGCCGGGTGTGGTGACAGGTGCCTATAATATAATCCCAGCTACTTGGGAGGCTGAGGCAGGAGAATTGCTTAAACCTGGGAAGTGGAGGTTGCAGTGAGCCAAGATCGCGCCATTGCACTCCAGCCCAGGCGACAGAGCAAGACTCTGTCTCAAAAATAATAATGATAGTAATAAGCAGGAACAACAGCAGCAAAAAAAATCACGAGATAGAACGCTCTTACCTGCCCACTGTCCCATTGACCGCAAGAAAGGCTTTGGCAAAACTTTCCAGTAATTCAGTAAAATACATCTGGAGAATCTCATGCACTTCACCAGGCAGGCCAGGCACACCAGCAGCCCTGTGAGGATGAAGAACTGTTCCAGAACGTCCCCCATGGCTGCACTGAACAGACCGTTCCGGCCCTGGCCGTGGCCCTCTGTGCGTGTCTCCTGGGACCGCGCTGCTCTGGAGACGTCCAGATCCTCTTCCCGGAGTCACTGGGTGTGTTCCATCAAGTCACGGGCATCTAGATTAAGGTAACTTCTTTACAGAATCCTCTGATTCACAGGCCTTTGAATGAGGCTTTCATTATGGAGGAGTCACTGGGTGTGTTCCATCAAGTCAGGGGCATCTAGATTAAAGTAACTTCTTTACAGAATCCTCTGATTCACAGGCCTTTGAATGAGGCTTTTGTTACTGTGGAGGAGCTGGTGAAAAAGTAACAGGTGGAGATGAAGGGAAAAAAACAAAGCCTGGACAGATGTAAAATGGCAGCCCATGGTTCTCTCACTGAATTTGGAAACTTAAAAAGGATGCGGAATCCGAGGCATTCATTCATGTATTTAGCACTGTGTATTGGCTGCCTACCAGGTGATCCCCTCTTGAAGGCATTAGGAAGATAATAGTGACCACACAGGGTCTCTGAGGTTGGGAGCTTAGATTCTGGTAGCGGGGACAGATGATGAGCAGATAAATAAGATAATCAGGCTGGGCAGTGGCTCACGCCCGTAATCCCAACATTTTGGGAAGCCGAGGCAGGTGGGTCACATGAGGTCAAGAGTTCGAGACCAGCCTGGCCGACATGGTGAAACTTCATCTCTACTTAAAATACAAAATTAGCCAGGCCTGGTGGTGTGCACCTGTAATCCCAGCTACTTGGGAGGCTAAGGCAGGAGAATCACTTGAACGTGGGAAGCGGAGGTTGCAGTGAGCCAAGATCACACCATTGCACTCCAGCCTGGGTGACAGAGCGAGATTCTGTCTCAAAAAAAAAAAAAAAAAGATGTATGTGCTATGAAAAAGCGCTATTGAACCACGTGTTTGAGTAGCTACTCAGGGAATGCTTCAGAGAGGGTGTTCAGGAAGGAATTATGTGAAAAGGTGGTATTTTTAGTTGAAATTTGAATGAAAGGAACCAGCTCTGCAAAGGTGAGTTTCCCCCTCCAGGCTAATGGAACAGCTAGTACAATGCCGGAAATGAGAAAAATCTGTGTATTTGAGGAATAAGAACTAGGATAGTCCGGGCATGGTTGCTCAGGCCTGTAATCCCAGCACTTTGGGAGGCTGAGGCAGGCAGATCACGAGGTCAGAAGATCGAGACCATCCTGGCCCATATGGTGAAACCCCATCTCTACTGAAAATACAATAATTAGCTGGGTGTGGTGGAGCAGGCCCGTAATCTTAGCTACTCAGGAGGCTGAGGGAGGAGAATCACTTGAACCCGGGAGGTGGAGCTTGCAGCGAGCCGAGATCACACCGGAGGGATTGGCCACAGAGAGCAAGGGAGGAAAAGGCCAGAGCAGGAGGGAGGAGCCATGCCCTACAGGTGAGTGTGGACTTTCAGAGCAACCAGAAGCCGTTGCACAGATTTAGGAAATAGAGTTCTATACTCTGAATTATGCTTTTAAAAGGCCATAATTTTATAAGCTGAGGGAAAATGTCCTTTTGGGAGTGGGATGGAGCGTGGGTGTGACAACTGAAGCAAGGGCAGCCGGGACACTGAAGTCATCCACGCAGAGGCCACAGAATCAGTCCTTGGCCTTCTCTCATTTCTGCCTGTGCTCATTCTCGGCTCGCTCTGTGCTGCAATCAACAGCCTTGCACTCACCCTAGAAGCAGAATTTCTGGCCAGAACATAGATTCATACGTCTTTATGCTAGATATTGTCAGATTTGCCTTCATTTTGCGTTCACGCCAACAACACGTGAGCACGTTCGTTTTCCTGCTGCCTTAGCAGTAGAGCATGTTGTCGAGCTTTGGGACTTTTGCCACCCAGTAGGTAAGAAGTAGCAACCAATGTTGTTTTAAGTTTAAATTACCTTATTAGCCAGGTTGGAGAGATTTTCATAAGCCTAGGGGCTATTTTCACTGTTTTCTTTGTGAATTTTCTCTCTCCTGCCCGTTTTTCTATGTGGTTTTTGGTCTTTCCCTTCTCTGTATTTAGAGATGGTTTCAGAACTCTGATTAGACGGAAATCCGACCAGCTCACTCTGTCCTTCATGTTCATCGATTATCTCTTCAGGTGTGTCTGATCATTGTTAAATCAGCCCATTGTGGTTTTTATTTTAATGACCTTAACTTCATTTCTAAAAGTTCCTTTTGTGCAAAACTGAGGTTTTCTTTTCATGGTTTTCTGTTCCATGCAGATATTTTTAATTTTGACTTTCCTTACCTCAGCGTGATTGTCTTGTGATCTGGCTTTAACAATTCCAGTACCTACATCAGCCTTTCTGTTGCTGTCTCCTCTCTCTGGTAGGTCTCACTCATGGTGCCCTGTTTCCTTGTGTGCTTGATAATTTTCACCTGTGCACATCCCGTTGTGCTTGGAAATTTCTCTGAGGTTTTCTGATGAAGCCGTATTCCTCCACAGACGAGGTGATTTTGCTTCTACCAGACACCTAGAGGAACTTCCAATTTGGAAAATTAAATTCATGGCTAAATTCATAGTTTTCTAAACTATGCAGGTGAAGTGAATTTGGTCTGCCATGACAACCCACCCTGGCCTGTGTTGATAAACCCATAGGACGGTTCTCTGGCCATCTCCACCCACCACCGCCTCCTCCGCTCAGTGCCAAGGCGCATTTCCTTGCAGTCTGGGAGTGTGTTTCTTCTGGACCACGCTTACCCTGAGGATGCAGAAACCTTTTGGGACCCCGGCATTATGGAATGTTCATCTATTAGATGACCTTCATTTCTGTCCCATACCATCACCACCGAAGCTCCCCATCACCCCATCCAGCAAATGCAGGGCTAATGTGGCTTCAGTGCTCAATTTACCTCTCTGTGTTGCTGCTTTCTCTTATACTGAAATTTTTGACTATCGTAATAGGTTTTTGCTTTTAATAAGCTCTTTGAGAATATCTCTTCTTCTACCCACAAAAACACGGGTGAATCACATTTTGTCGAGCAAAAGAAGTCACAGAAAAGTACCGCATTGGTTATCTATTCTATATAACAAATTAACCCAAAACTTTGTCGCCTAAACAATGCCATTTATTATCTCATGATTTCTGTGGGTCAGGAATCCAGGCATGGATCAGCCGGGTCCTCTGGCTCAAGGTCTTTCCCAGGTGGCAATAAAGTCCAGCCAGGTGGCCGTCATCTCCAGGCTCACCTGGGGAGACAGCAGCCCAGTCACTTGTTTGTTGCAGGATTCGGTTGCTCCTCCTTTGTTCCGTGCTGTGTGGGCCTCCTCACAGGGCAGCTCCCAAGGGCAGCTTGCTTCATCAGATCTAGCCAGTGGGAAGAATCAGAGAGACAGAGAGAGAAGGCAGAAGCCACACTCTTGTGATCTGATCTCGGAAGGGCCATTCCATCACCTTAGCTGTATTCTGTGCATTAGAAGCAAGTTCCTCGATATTCAAAGGGAAAATATCACACAAGGGAGTGAACGTAGGGGGCAGAGGGATGATTGAAATCTATTCTAGAAACTGCCTTCTACATATATAGTATGTGATTTATAGGAAGTTAAAGAACAGGCAAACATAATCTTCAGTAAAATAAAATCAGAATACTGGTTGCCTGGCAGAGGTGAAGGGATTGGCTGGTAGAGTCATAGGGAACTTTTCTGATTGATTAAGATATTCTGTATTTTGATAAGCAATGTGTTCGGAAGGGCCTGCCTTAATCAAAACTCACTGTACTGTACACTCTTAAGCTCTGTGCAATTTACTGCATGTAAATTATCTTGAAACTTCAAACAAATTTTGTCCTGCAGTTATTCTTTGGATGGTGGATAATTTAGACTTCCATTACCAGAATCGTAAGCAGCAATTCATCTGTGTGCTTGGTCACAGACCAAGATTTCCCCACTTTTACTTTTCAGCATCAAAAACTGTATCAAACCCCATGTAATAGATTGAGAAATTACATACCAATATCTGACTGTGAATTCAGCAAAGCTTTTGAGTAAATGTGTATTTCTCTATTTACAAGATGCTATGACTTGTGTCCCTCAACCCCTGGCCCCAGTCAAAATTCATACATTGAAGGCCTAACCCCCAACGTGATGATATTTGGAGATGGAGCCTTTGGAGGGTGATGAGATCATGAGGGTGGGGCCTTCATGGTAAGATTAATGCCCTTAAATGAAGAGACACAGGCTGGGTGCCATGGCTCGTACCTGGAATCCCAGCACTTTGGGAGGCTGAGGTGGGCAGATCACCTGAGGTCAGGAGTTCGAGACGAGCCTGGCCAGCACGGTGAAACCCCGTCTCTACTAAAAATACAAAAATTAGCCAGGCATGGTGGCACCTGCCTGTAGTCCCAGCTACTCGGGAGGCTGAGGCATGAGAATTGCTTGAACCCAGGAGGCAGAGGTTACAGTGAGCCAAGATCACACCACTGCACTCCCAGCATGGGCGACGGAACGAGACTCCATCTCAAAAAAACAAAAAAAACAAAGACGAAGAAGAGACACAGAGGTCTCCGTCTCTCTCTCCACCACATGAGGGCACAGCGAGCAGACCACCGTCTATCAGCCGGGAAGAGCGCCCTCACCAGGAACCCAGTGGGCCACCACCTTGATCTTGGACTTCTCAGCCTCCAGAACTGTGAGAAAAAAATTCTGCCATGTAAGCCACTCAGTCTGTGGTATTTTGCTATAGCAGCCCGAGCGGACACAGAGTACATGGGAGCATTTAAAAATTAAATTCTTCAATGTGGAGACATGTTATTTCCCCAGCATATGTTTGCTGTTGTCTTCTGCTCCACTTGAGAAATGCGACTGAATGATGCTATTATAGCAACAACATTAATGCCAACGTAAAACTTCTAAATACATGATCTTCAAAACTCAATAGTTACCAAAAAAAATTTTTTACCATACATCTACCAACTCTGCATAGTTGCTAGGCAGAGAAAAGCAGTTGAGAACTGGGTCTCTGAAACAGGGATCATAAACTCAGATGCTTACAACGGTGGAAGGCAAGTGATGTAAGCCCATGAAACAGGGCAGGGACCTTGTGCTGTACTTTTTTTTTCCCTTTTGAGACACAGTCTTACTCTGTCACCCAGGCTGGAGTGCAATGGTACAATCTCAGCTCACTGCAACTTCTGCCTCCTCGGTTCAAGCAATTCTCCTGCCTGAGCCTCCCGAGTAGCTGGGATTACAGGTGCCCGTCATCACGC